ATTACATATATAGGTACTACATGTGAACCTCTTTCAGATTTGTAATTGCGTGTGATATCTTCATTATCTAATTTTGATGATATTTTTGTAATTTTTGTAAAAAGTGATATTTTTGAATTCTTGTTGAAAACGGAAAGTACCGTTGCTTTGATACTATACATATTGTTCATTTTCTAATGATATCTTCTGTTCTTTTATTGAAATGTGCATTGCTAACAGCGGAGAATAGAATAGAATAGAATAGAATACTGTAAAAACTTTATTTTCGCTTGGAATTAATTTTCGCTGAAGGAATGATTCAGTGAAAATAAATCCCATACAAAACACCCATAAATTCTTTTCAACGAAAATTATTTCCAGCTAAAATAAAGTATTTCACAGTAGAATAGTATAAATAGATGAGAATAGAATAGAATAATAGATGAGACTAGAATAGAATAGAACCGAATAAGATAGAAAGAATAGAATCAAACTATAAAATTTAATTTTACAAAGATGAAAATAATTTTGTAGCACTAAAAATTTCACTAAGATTTTAAAGACACAATGACTTTTACTAATGCCATCAAACAACAAAATAACAACAATTTACAGTTACAATATGCAACAGTTTTTTGAATTGAATATCATTTTCATGGTATGTAAGAGTACAGAATAATAGTGAACAGTATGGCATATACATGTATAAGAACATTCATGTATGTATTGAATGAACACAATCTAATACAATGAATTGGGTCAGTTCAACTCAGTTGAGATGAATAGACATGGATGTAAGTGAAACTTGTAAGATTTACATGAGACCTTTTGCAATAAGCTAAATTGCCTTCAAACTTTTACCAATTATATCTTAGATACATGTAGGTACAGCTATACATCTCAAGGAAAATAATTTTATTCCTCCTTCTTTATTCAAAAATCAACCAATCCTGGATAACTATTGATAATATATTAACCAATCAGCATAAGTTTCTCATCCGAGTTGTCAACTGACCAATCAGGGTGTATCTTTCTTATTGGATCTTCACCCAATCAGAATAAAGATTAGATCATCCATTAACCTATCATGATGTAGATAACAGAAATAGTTTTGACTGATGATAGTGATCAGGTGTCTGGCAAGACAGTGTCATCAATTTTTATGCGGAGTGAAGAAGCAGCTGCCTTTGACCGAATGCATCTCCTTGGGAATTTTATACATAACTCCTTTGGATTCAGGAATATATGAAATTTGGATACACATTGGCAATTATTGCAGGTGCGGTGGTTTGATTTTGAATTAACTTTTATATGTGCATGTGTATCGTAGTTATTATTTTTTTTAAAAAGTAAGATGGGGTAGGGAGCAGGAGGTTAGTGTATCTGAAATTATCATGTTATCTGAAATTAACATCTGTATATGACAGATGCATGAGTGTTATCTTATGTTTTTTTATCTGGATACTTATTCGGTATAAAAAGGATCTAAGATTGGAAAACAACATTCTGTCAACAATGTGCTCTATACATGTAGCGTAATTTGTTTTTACTGCAATCCACCTCAGATGGACGAATAAATCATGAAAAATAAAATCCAGAGAAAGTACATTTTATTTTTGTTATTTTTGCACACAATGCATCAGCAATGTGTTGAGACTAAATATGCTTGACATAAATCAAAGTTTTTAGTTAAAATTGCTTATTCTGCAATATTCAGTGTCATACTCATTGAGCGTAATAGTAATTCACTTGTACATGTATTAATACAAAGAGATGATGTACCATGAATGTTAGTGTACAGTAGAGCTAGATGACTTGAATAGCTAATAACTCCAAAGAATATAATTACTTAGTGAATGGAAGAACAAAATAAAATACATGGATTTTTGTTTCTCTCTCTATGACTTGACTCTTAAGTTCAACAGTCTTAGTTCTCAATGCCTTGACATACCATTATCAAGTCATAAAATTTTAACCTATTGAATGATAACAAATGCAAATTCCTGTAGGAAACTACTGTAAATGGGTTAATTATTCACTGGGTTTTAATTTTGCTTATTTCGCTGATTGGAAAATGTGCTAAATTAAAACCCAGTGAATATGTAAAATTTAGCATAGAATACATTATGTAAATGAAAAAACAGTGAATTTAAAACCCACTGAATATGCCTGAAATTGTAAATCAGCGAAATTTAAACCCAGCGAAAATTAGTCATTTTACAGTATTCAACACTGTGAATGTCAAAGTCGTCAACTTTTTGTCTTCTTTAGGCTAAATCAAACCAAATAAAATTTATTCTGTGTTTCTAAGTAAACTTATCTACCCATTTAAGGGAGGGAGAATTATAAATGTATATTTTATGCAGTAAAGCTCGAAATTATTCATTTCTATGTTAATTAGTTATGGTCATTTATATGTTTGTTTGTTTTTTTAATTTCATGTACTTCCTTCTATTTTGTGAATAAGAAAGTAGATTCTGAAAAAACTGATAGAGGAAGTCTGGTGGTGAAAAGGTTAAAAAAATAAAACCGGATAATTCCCATATTTTTTTCAAAAATGTTCATCAAAATTAAAAAATTATAGTTTATTTGATCCAAAATTAACAAAGAAATGGTAGAAAAATATATGAAAATGTGTTGCCAGAATCTTGGGAGGTAAAATTATGGTTTTCATATAAAAGATGATGTTGAAATGTCAATATCACTATTACATGTATATATACATCCTGCAAAGCATTGTGGTTATTTACTTATATACATATTATTAAATTAAACTATGGTGTATTGAGGTCACTATTTTGTAAACTGTTTTTTGAAAAAAACGTATATTAAAAAAAAAATGTATATGCAGCTGTGTTTCTGGTCATCGGCAAAATCAATTCAATGAGAGTGAGCCCTCTATGGCAAAAATAACAACTATGTCTTAAAAGCTAGTGATGTATTTATGTAGAATTTATCGTTGAAAGCAGTAAATAGATAAAAATAACTCAAATTCATTAGAGGTAAATCCGACTGTCATTTATCTCACATTTGATAAATTGTCTATAAACCTTTTTTTAGGAGTGGGTGTCCCTTACTTAGTAGCTTACTTTCTAGGGTTTTTAAATTCACCAATTTTTCAGTGAAAACAACAAGTTCTATTACAATTTTACTTGTTTTTATAATTTTACTTAAAAATTGCAAAATCTACGAGTAAATGCAGATTTAACAATACTGTAAACTGCTTAATCTTTTTACCACCAGTGTCTTCTTTTCATCACAAATTCACGAAATACTAGTAGTCCGGTTTATAGTCTGCACTTTCCTTCCGAAAATTGGGACAAAAAAAAGCCAAATTTTTTGAGTAAAAACTGAAAAGTGACTCAAATTTTGTCTGCTGGCTCAAAAATTAGGGTTCATTTCCAGAAATATTGAAAATATATAAGAAAAGAGTGCAGAAAAATGTTGGTGAAATTTGTGAAGCCAAAATTTGCTGACACTGTGTCATAAAACTCCCTAGAAATTTTCACTGACTTTAATATGAAAAATGTGAACATTTGACTCTAGTAAAATTAGAGCACTTTACAGTATACAATGTACATGTATGAATGCACTTGATACATGGTTGGGATTCCATTGATATGTATAGCCATATGTCAAAATGTAGTCTGAGATTCTTATTTTAAATTCAGCTGTTCATATAGCAGGTGCCTTAGTAACTATTAATTGGGTTGATATTTAGCGACATAAAGTGCTTTATTGGTGGTGATGGTTATAACCATCAAATAGAAAGAGCCTGTCTAAAAACTTGATCAAAATAATAATAATAATAATACATGTAATTGTTTATTGCATCTTTACAAATACATATTTCATTCAGTATATAGCAATAGAAATATTAATCAATACAAAAAAATAAAATATAACAAGTTAGTAAGAATAATAATAAAAAGTAGTTCTAGTATGCAGAGATAGATTTATAGTCAAGTTTTTGATGATTATTTTGTAATTTACATGTAATTTTTAATGAAATATCTACAGTACTTGTCTAACATGTGGCTGTCTAAAGTGACAGCAGACAGATGGCTGGCTGAAAAGCCTGTTGTCGGTAGTGGAGGGTGAGACGTTCAGGCTTGCATGGCTCAAAATTAGAATTTTCAATTCTTGGGATCCTGGATGTTAGACTTCATGAATCTTGAAATAAATTAATATACATGCATGTATACCTACAGTGGACCATTTTTCATTTACTGTGTGATTCTGTGTTACACATGAAATCAAACATGAAAACAGGATAAATAGATCTGATTCACTCTCTTCCACGAGCGACGTTTTACCTCTCAATTTGAGGGATTACACAATTTGCGGGATTTTAATATGTAGTATTAGTCATATATATATAATTTAGTGTTTTATTTATTAAAATATTTTATATAAAAACATGATATAAGTAATCGTTGGCAACCGAGATGTGTACAAAATGTCCATTTGAGTTGCACACCTTCTCCTTTCATATATACCACACTATTATAAGTGCCTATGACTTGAACTACCATTTATCAATAGTTCACCTCGATGTGTGTTGTAACAGTGCAGTACAATGGGTGCACAGAAATTAATATTTTTATTGTATGAAATACCAATGGACTGCCTAAATAACAGTAACTGTACAGCTACCAGCTTTTTGGAATACTAGCTAACGACAGCCATATAAAAAATTGGAGCCCTGAAACCTGAATAAATGTCTGTCCTCTTCTTAATCCAGTCCTCATCTTTCCGTTCCAGAATTCTTCATCTGTATATACCATGGGAAAGGGCAGCTCACGGCTACGACGTTCTAAACATGTGAGATGAGAAACCATGCATGACTCTTTCCCTGATGTCATCACATACTTTATTTTTCACTTTTATTTTCCCCTGTCATACATCCATCATTCACTTTTCTCTTTTTTTTTAACTTTTCTCCCTCAAGTGTAATGCATGGTTTGCTTATGTTTTATTTATGTTTACAGTTTTGTTTTGTTTGGTTTGTCTGTTTCTAGGACAACATTGGCGACGTCAACGATCCACAACAACAAGAAGCTGCAGTTAAAATTCAAGCCGGTGTCAAAGGTCACCTAGCTCGGCAAGAAGTAGCAGAAATGAAGTGAGTGACTGATTGACTGATTGGCTGATACAAATTTTATATTTATATATGCAAATTGTGTACATGTATTTATGTATGCAAATTGTGCATTTATGTATGCAAATTGTGCATTTATGTATGCAAATTGTGTATTTATATATGCAAATTGTGTACTTATGTATGCAAATTGTTTATGTATGCAAATTGTATATTAAGTATGAAAATTTCGGTATGCAAATTTGTGTGTATTTATGTATGCTAAATGTTTTTGTGTATGCAAATTATGTATTCATTTTTGCAAATTATGTATTTGTTTACAAAAGTTGTGTATTTATGTATGCAAATTGTTTTTTTTTGTGTATGCAAATTATGTATTTGTTTATGCAAATGGTGTATACATGTTTATTTATGTGTTTTTTGATCTGCAAAGCAGATTCATTTTCACTGTGCATTGGGCCTGATAATGTAGGACAAACTCACAGTTTACATACATTATACAAATGGAATGTATTGAACTTTAATGTGTGACACACATTTGATGAATTATTCAGTGTAAATTTTTTATTTTGGTGAAAATAGTAATGTGGGCTTTGAGCTGGTGTGCAAAAGTTCACTGCTAATGCTAAAAATCTCTATACATAAATCTACACATATAAATTTTTAAGTGATATTATAATTGGCGTTGGCGTTGACAAATTGACTTGACAAACCATACCATACTGCACAGATGAACGTGTACATGTCCCTGGATGCATAACCACAGAATGTGCTGTAAAAATCAGCCGCTAGTTTTCTCCTCACATCTCGTAATGAAACCTTGTGACTAATCATGATAATATCCATGTTATTATAACCAAAGGAAAGCACAAACAAACAAACAAGAAGAAGAAGAGATAGACATTGATCTTGAAGATCCTGAAGTCGAAAAAGCAGCAGTAAAAATTCAAGCTGGTTTTAAAGGTCTAAAAGCGAGGAAAGAAGTCAAACAAAAACGAGAAGAGCAAGTCTCGGTAAGTCTGTAATTCTGGATGACTCAACTAAAAAGGGCGCTGACACTTTCTTGTGGCACAATATTAAAGCGCGGTGGTCGCCGCGCAGCGCGTGTTCGAATTTCATGTGAATAAACAATGTATTTTACACGCGCTGTATACATCGCTATGAGTCCCATATCGAACAGGACGTGGCGTGATGACTGCCGCCCTTTAAATAACTGTGTTATCCTAAGAAAATAACAATAGTGTTGTGGCCAATTTGCATATAATATGTTAATTATCCTTGTTAGTTGCATTCACTGGGTTGAATTTTAGTATTCCGATGTTACTGACTGATTTATTGAAATTGAAATGTCACGTAATCCCCAAAACGGAATATTGTTCCTGTGGCACAATGCACATGTACCATCAGTATTTAAAAATAGTCAAAAAAGAGATACAATGTGGCATTCAATCTTAGTGCCTGGAACAATAATGTTTTCAACAAATGTTTCAAAACTATTTCGGCTACCACTGAATATGGTGTTTCTTACATATATGGGGCTTATGGCCATATACTACCACAGGTATATTCAATATTTGTATCTAGAAGGTGTGACATATTCATTAAAATCTGTAATTTTCTTATCATCTAGCCAATTAAACTCTCATAATCTTGTCGTCCTGGCAACATTGGGAGACAAGAGATATGATTACACATGTATGTGCATTTTACCTTTCTCACACAGGTTTTTTTTTTGCTGGGAGTCACAACAAAACTACTGTTTTTGTACACTGCCTGTGCACGGAATTTTTTGTATTATTTGTAAAATTTCTCGGAGGATGTACTTAACTATTGGTTAAAATGCTAATAGAAATTGTGGACCATGGATGATTACATATGTGCAGATTCTGGGATGGTTTGGTTTCATTTTTTTTATTTTTTTTTGTATTTTATTTTATCTTGCATGCTTGTATTGTGTTGTCTGTGTTGTGTTAATAAGTCTGAGAAAACTGAACAATCAGAAGAGACTGAGGAAAAGAAAGATGAGGTAGGAGCACATCCACATTTTGTTGGGTCTTTTATGTTTTGTGTTCGTTTGTTTCCATTTACAATTATTTATAATTAGCTCCTGTTTTGCAGTGCATAAAACAGGAGTGCTTCATAGAAGCTTTGAGTTATTTTTATGTTTGTGTATTGTTTTAAGGAAAAGCCAGAGGTAGTCGCAGAAGAAAAAACAGAGGATGAACAAGTAAGCTCCCCTCCCAATTAACCTACACATACCTCTCGTGTAATGGTTTGCCCCAATTGCTACTAATGGATTGTATGATGATAATTGGGGGACATAAGTCATTAAATCATCATACTTATCAGAGTGATACAACATACATACAATAAGCCATCAATCAAACAAATGTGTGACTCATTTGTAAATATCATAGCATAGAAAATAAAACATCTCGCACAAAATATTGGGTGAAACAACAAATACTGTAGAATACTTTATTTTCGCTTGGAATTTATTTTCGCCATTTTCGCTGAAGGAGTGGTTCAGTGAAAATAAAATCCAACGAATATACTTTTTTTTCTATATTTCACATTAAACTCATCAAAAATCATTGAAAATAAATTCTATACAAAACGCCCGAAAAGTCTTTTCAGCGAAAATTAATTCCAGCAAAAATAAAGTATTCCACAGTAGTCAGTGCAGTAATTCCATTGGCATTGCTTTCATATCTGTTACAACTTGTTACATGTTTATGGCTACTCTGTACTAATGATGACACAAAGAAATTCTTTTCATATAGACATAAAGTAATAATGGCCTTTTTCATCTAAGTTCAAACGTTTTTCAAGCACACACACACACACACACACACTGTACCCATAGCCATGTACTTAATTCAGAGTTACACTTTGATGTTTGTGTAGGCATTAATGACACCACGCTCATATCAAGAAGGGGACCCAGTCAGCATATACCAAAATCACATCATCATTTGTCGAAGCTATGAAGTAATATACTTCCAAACAATGGTCATGTTCCCAGACAAAAAATAGAACAGATATTTTCATGAACGTGGCAATGTTTTGGAAGTTGACAAACATTGATACTAGAAATTACTAAAAGTCAGATAACTTTTTTAAGAAATCAACATGATATCGCCGTTATTACCACAAAACATAACGTCAGCAACAAAAATAAAATATTGCTTATAGGTTCTGTAAGACTTGCACATATAAAAAGTGTGTTCACTGAATCTTACTGACTCAACTTCACCAAAATAAAATTCCATTGTAAATAAAGTCATCTTTACTATACACTGAATCATAAAAAAAAAATATTATCTTATTTTATATCTTAATGGTGGTCGTCTACTCCCAATTCTGATTAGATTTGCATTAATATACAAAATTACAAAATTATCTAAAAAAAGAAAAATAAGAATCTTGATTTTATTTTTGTTTTCAGACAACCCAGGCAGTAGACAATCTTGTGAAATGGGTTAGTGAAAATATTAGAAAATTAATTCTTGCTTTTTGAAATTCAGATATTTGATTCATAGGATGCGAAATTCCAGATTATTTACTTCAGTGGTTCTTGACATTTTAGCAGTCTTAGCCATTTTAGTCTTAGCATTTAACATGGATTTGCAAGATTGATCAGTTGAAGCCAGAACTGCTTATCTAAGTCAAAATATGCTGCATGTCATGAGAAAGGACAGGAGTAAGGCTCTGTCACTGTAACCTTATAGTTTTTGGAGGTCTTGTGACTAGTGCAAGCATCCCTAGGCCATTGTCCTTTAGTAGTATATATTATAATTATGGGGTCACATGATATAAGCACACTTAGGGTAGTGTTCTGCAAGTGTGTATCATCTATTATGAGATCACATGACATTAAAAGCACCCCTAGGCTTTTGATCTTTTGTTGTGCAATATAAAGTATGTCACATGGCTCTAGAAGCACCCTTAGGCTAGTGTTCTTTAGTTGCATATTATAAAGTCTTAATGTATTTGCTTTTATTTCACAATAGACGAAACTTTATGAAATTTCCAAATTTTGGAAAATCATGCCAAGCTTATGAAATTGACCTCTTGCAAATCATATAAAATTGCTAATATTTCTAGCACTAAAAATGTCATTCTATTTATTGCATTTATGTAATTAACCCCATTGCATTATGTGTATGTTTCCACTAGGCACCACTGTAACTGCAATCTTTCATAGTGTAATAATACTGTTTACCTTGTTCCTAGGTGTCTGCTGTTATTTGCTTATTACCTTGATCTGAGTAGATATTTTTGTTAGTGGTGTGCTACTGACTAGCACCTGTCAATTTATGATTCAATAACTTAGATGTCTTTGTAGAGTGATATGCAATGAAAATCTTATGTGCTCGGCAATCAAATGTATTTCAACCAATGGCATCATTGAATACAGTGAACGCTTGGAGAGGTGTGATAGCGTGAATAGAAATGAGCGAGAAAAACGCTGTAATCGAAAGCGGAAAACACACGTTATACATGCTTTGCGAATAAGCAAGGAAATTAACTTGCCTGAAATGAACGCTAGCAGTTAGTATTTCTAGAAACGAATATGTTTGTCTTGTCGATATTTTAGTCATCTCTCAGTTCAGTTGATTTCTTCAATTCACATGAGATATTCATTGCTTATCACATCATTTACATACCTTCATCTCATAACTCTCTGAAACTATCGGTACTTATAATATAGGACATAGATCAAACAGAATTGCCAGAATGTTTCAGAATTATATAAATTGATATTTCATTGGTTAAGTTAGTTAAATAAATATCTTTTATTTGACCAATCAAGGCACAGGATGAATCACAAGACAAGGAGGAAGAAGATAAAAAAGCAACGACTGAGGTTGGATTTCATTGGTTAAAATTACATAATTAATTAGCATAATGTAGAATGCTTTATTTTTCGCTTGGAATTTTTTTTCACTATTTTTGCTGAAAGGATGTATTAGTGAAAATGGTATTCAGCAAAAATGTTTTATTTTTATATATTTTACAAAAATAAACTTCTAAAACAGCTAAAAGACTTTTTCAGTGAAAATTAGTTCCAGCTAAAATAAAGTATTTTACAGTAGTACCATGAAACCACCTGCTAAAAGATACACGATCCAATGAGTGTTGATTTACACCTCTATTGAACTTCCATATTAATTTGTGTGTTTTCAAATTTTTTGTGATATTTTCATAATTTATTCAGGAACATGGTTCAGACAGTTACAACTTTTGATTAATTTAACTATTTTGTAAGTCCTGTTTTAGGCAAACTAGGTCAAATAATGTTGTGGAAGGTTACAGTTTACAATGGCAGTGAATGGGTGGCTAATTTGCATACATGTTGGTTCACATTGTTCATCTTTGTTGTGGAAGGTTTCATTTGGTACTAAAAGTGAACAGGTTTATAATTTACATACTGAACTGTGTCGTGGAGGGTTATAGTTGGAAGTTGCAGTGAAAGGGTTGTTGATTTGCATAGGAAACTCTGTTGCGGAAGGTTATAAGTGGTAGTAGCAGTGAAAAGGTTGCTAATTTGCATACAGAACTGCTGTGGAAGGTTACACTTGGTAGTATCAGTGAAAGGGCTGCTAGTTTTCATACATATTGTTCATCTACTAACTGTCCATATCACCTCGATTCTCTAATTAACTTGTAAAGGATGCTGAGGCTGAGGGAGCTGCTGAAGAAAACTATGAACAAGAACAGGTTTGTAGTTTGTTATCGTCACCATTACATTTCTGTAGTTTAGGCCATAGATGGTCAAGTAACATTTATGTGTTTGTGACATCTTTCCTCACCATTCGTAAATCATTTGAATGCTAACTTCTATCACATTTTACGAAATAACATAATTTTTCACAATTTTTGATCTGGAATTGTAGACAATAACAGATTACATCTGTTCGATCAATCTAGAATAGCAAACTACATTAAAATATGTAAAAAATATGCACCAAAATGTTGATGGGAAAAATGATGGTGCTCAAATGGTTTAACTGTCCTTCATTCCTGTGTGTCTGTACTATTACTATGAGTTTGTCTGTTTTACTAACCAAAGGTAGCAGAGCAAATTGAGCAATCTGAGGAACAGAGTCCCGTTGATGAACAACAAGAAGAAATGGTTTGTATTTATATCTCCATTCTGTAAAACTCCTGTGGTCATTTGTGTTTCAAATAAAAATTTTAAAATGAGGCGGCAAGGCGATTTTGTTTTTGTATTTGAATACTAAGCTATAATGGGGGAAATTTGAGATAAGTGCGAGTACAAGCACATTTTGGAATGCTTTAGAAGGAAAACAAACTTTTGAGGCACATAGTTCAAAATGATGTGTGCGGGAACGAGAAATAGAGATATTTTTTTCTCTCAGCCTTTAATAGTGTAATTAATCTACTTCATTCTTTCATCTCATACCATGTACTTGTAAAATTCCATCCATACCTGTTATGTGTTTTCTGTGTTTCACTAACAAAGGTTACCGAGGAAACAGAACAGATTGAGGAACAAGCAGAAAATGAGCAGGAGAAGGTTTGTTTTGTGTTCCTTTGTGAATATCTGACTAACTTTGTCATTCTGACTCGTCATATGTTGTAACACTTGTGTGCATTTCAATAGCATTCACATATCCATACTGTCTGTCTGCGTATCAAACTGTCCATTGTCAGTCCGTCCATCCATTCATCCATCCATTCTGTGTTTTACTAACCAAAGGTCACCGCAGAGATAGAACAAACTGAGAACGAACCCCAGGAAGGAGAACAAGAGGTTTGTTTCTTCATTTTTCTGTTCATTATTTCGTTCATCTTGTAGTAAGTTATATATCCATCTCATTCTTTTCATCATTGTGTATTTACTAACTTAAAGGTTGTCATGGAAATAGAGCAACAGGTTGAGGAGGACCAAGAACAACAAGCAGAGGTTTGAATTCAAGTGTATCTTATAATTGCAATCTTTTCTTGTGAAAATCACATAGATTAAATTTTTTTTATTTAGTTTCAGAAGCACAGTAACTCTTTTTTCTCTATAGCATTAATTTATTAGCATACGGACTTTCTCTTTTCACCTTCTTACAGACAGATTTTTTTTCTTTAGGATTGGATGTAAACTTTCAATTGGAAAATTAAAGGATGATGTTTATTTGGTAGAATTTTGTTGATAGATAATCTTATTGATTTTTCCACTTCCTATTACATGGACTATTAAAATGGACGTCAAGTTACACATGCAGATTTTGATCTGAGCGAAATGCACACAGTGCTTATGGCGGTTATAGCATCCATGTCTCAGATCAAAATTTATCTATCTAAACCCTTGTACTATCTCATTTCTTGTATACTCTGATCACTCAAGTTAATTCTGCAGCTGTGTGCACATAGGTTTGTGATAAATGTTTGTATGGGACCCATACCTGGAGCATGCATAGCACAAAGACCACCACACTTTAAAGTTAAAAATATGGTTCAGGTGTTACAACTTAACTCGGTAATATAAAACAAACCACTTCATTGCAGATATGCAAGTGTAAGGACTACATCATGTGATGTAGAACAAACCACTTTATTTGCAGGGGTGAGGGTATAATATGACACAATATGTCATGGAATAAAGCACTTTATTATAGGGGTGTCAATGTTAAGAGGGCACAGAATGATCAGCAGTAGTACAAGACTACACACTATGTTGTTATAGACCAAACCAATATCTGTAGGGGTGCAGGTATAAAGACTGCACACTATGTCATAGAACAAACCAATATATGTAGGGGTGCACGTATATATATGTCAGGTATATGATTGACAACCATTGTTCTTCATGAAGCATATTAGACTTGTACTGTAAAATCATTTATTTAGTTTCACTATTTTGATATTTTGAGCAATTCTGTAGATTTTAAATTTATGAACTTGGCAAGGAAACAATGAGTTCTATTATTATTTTCAAGTTCACATGTTTTTATTTTAGCGAATTCCACTTATCAATGAAAATAGTGAAATTAAAAACCAGCAATAATTAATGTGTTTACATTAGCACATGTAAATTAATTAATGTACATGAAATAAAAACATCAAAATTAAATTAAAATTATAAAGATTGAGCGTTGATGCATGTGCGTCTTCTTGTAAAACACAGGCTACTGATGAACCAGCGGCAACAGATGGGGAACAAACTGAACAAAAAGAGGTTTGTATTTGAAATTAAAAATAAAGAAAAATTTAAAAATAAAAGAAAAAAGTGACATACTGTTTCGGCAGAAATGTATTATCATTTTAAAAAATATTCCAATTTGAAGCATTTTGCGCAAATGAATGTTTGTATGTCCAAAGTTTTTTTTTTTAGTTATGTGTATGTTTTGTCATAAATAGTGTTTGTCCTAAATTTACATTACAGTTTTATTGTTCTGTGAGGAAGTTTTGTGTTTTCGTGTTAATGTTTGTTTATTTGTTTGTGGTTAAAGGCGGACGAACAGAAACCTGAAGGGGACGATAAACCAGCAGAAATAGAGGTAACTTTTATTTTCATTTTATTTGACGAGGACCCTTCAAAGTTAATTGCTTTTTATATTTTTTGTTCATTTTTATTTCTGCTTGTTTATTTTCTTTCATTTATGTTTATATTATTTTGTTTATGTTATTGAATAAGGAAGCAGAAGAGAAGGCTGATGAGGAAAAGCCGTCAGAAACACAGGTAACAACAATTAAAGAGAGTTATTGTCTGACTGAGCCCATCATCTGTGTGTGTTGATCAGTCTGTCTGTTGTCTGTCAGTCTGTGTGTGTTAATCAGTTTGTCTGTTGTCTGTCAGTCTGCATGTGTTAATCAGTCCGTCTGTTGTCTGTCAGTCTGTGTGTGTTAACCAGTCTGTCTGTTGTCTGTCAGTCTGAGTGTGTTAATCAGTCTGTCTGTTGTCTGTCAATCTGTGTGTGTTAATCAGTGTCTGTTGTCTGTCAGTCTCTGTGTGTTCATCAGTCTGTCTGTTGTCTGTCAGTCTCTGTGTGTTAATCAGTGTCTGTTGTCTGTCAGTCTGTGTGTTAATCAGTTGGTATGTTGTCTGTCAGTCTGCATGTGTTAATCAGTCTGTCTGTCTGTTGTCTCTCAGTCTGCGTGTGTGTTAACCAGTCTGTCTGTTGTCTGTCAGTCTGTTTGTGTTAATCAGTTTTTCTGTTGTCTGTCAGTCTGTGTGTGTTAATCAGTCTTACTGTTGTCTGTCAGTCTGTGTGTGTTAATCAGTCTGTCTGTTGTCTGTCAATCTCTGTGTGTTAATCAGTCTGTCTGTTGTCTGTCAGTCTCTGTGTGTTAATCAGTTGGTCTGTTGTCTGTCAGTCTGTGTGTGTGTGTTAATCAGTCTGTCTGTTGTCTGTCAGTTTCTGTGTGTTAATCAGTTGGTCTGTTGTAAGTCAGTCTGTGTGTGTTAATCAGTCTATCTGTTGTTTGTCAGTCTATGTGTGTTAATCAGTCTGTCTGTGTCTGTCAGTCTCTGTGTGTTAATCAGTTTGTCTGTTGTCTGTCAGTCTGCGTGTGTTAATCAGTCAGTCTGTCTGTCTGTTGTCTGTCAGTCTATGTGTGTTAACCAGTCTGTCTGTTGTCTGTCAGTCTGTGTGTGTTAATCAGTTTGTCTGTTGTCTGTCAGTCTGCATGTGTTAATCAGTCTGTCTGTTGTCTGTCAGTCTGTGTGTGTTAATCAGTCTGTCTGTCGTCTGTCAGTCTGTGTGTGTGTGTGTTAATAAGTCTGTTTGTTGTCTATACTACTGTGTGTGAGTGTCAATCAGGCTTTCAGTTGTGTTAATCAGTCTGTCTGTCATCCATTAGTCCATCCAGTTTAGTACTTCTGTGTGGTTGTCATTGTCTATATAATGTTGATTTATTTTTGTTAATTTACCCAATATTACATGCATTACTTGCATTTGTTGTACATGTTCAATTATAATTGTTTTGTTTGTATTTGTGAAGGTGCCTGAGGAGCAAACTGATATAAAACCAGAAGAAACCCAGGTAGGGTATTTTTCAGACAATGCATTGTGGTTATAGATGAGTTTCATCTCATTTGTATAGTAAGATGAGTCTGCTTACCAACCATGACTACATTGCATCATTTGTGTTATTTGTTTTTTTCATTTAATATAATAGTTATCTGTGATAGTGATTGTTATGTGTATTGTAATGTATTTTGTTTGTGTTGTCAAGGAAACTGAGGAAAAAGCAGAGGGAGATGAGAAACCTGCTGACACAGAGGTACTTAATTGTATTTTGTTTCCTTAGCAACATTTCATTTACCAATGGCCGTACTACTGTCACTGATACTATAAGGTCACACATCCTGGTACTTATTTATAACGCCTAAAGGTCACACATCCTGGTACTTATTTATAACGCCTAAAGGTCACACATTCCTGTACTTACTCATAACCACTAAAGGTCACACATCCTGGTACTTAATCATAACCACTAAAGGTCACACATCCTGATACTTAATAATTATCACTTAAGGTCACACATCCTGGTACTTAATTATAACCACTAAAGGTCACACATCCTGGTACTTAATCATAACCACTAAAGGTCACACATCCTGATACTTAATAATTATCACTTAAGATCACACATCCTGGTACTTAATTATAACCACTAAAGGTCCCACATTCTGGTACTTATTCGTAACCATTAAAGGTCACACATCCTGGTACTTATTCATGATGGCCACTGATTCCTATACTTTGAAGCCGCCATACTTGTATAGCAGATTTACTGCAACTTGCGTATGACCTTATAAGGTCATGTATCCTTGTAATTTGGAGATATAGCTGCACCACATAACATTTAATTTATTCTATTCTGCAAAGTACCGGGAAGTTTGACCATTAAGGGGTCATCAATCAGTCATAAAAATTTATGTTTTATGTAAAACAGCAACACTAATAAATGTGAAATTGAAGCTATTGTAAATTCATATAGCAAGCAACAATATTTGAAGAGCGCCCTCTCTGTGATACATTGTATAAAGGTAAACACATGTACCATATTTAGTTTATTGTAAGTGCATTTTAAAAAGCAGCTGTGTTAATTTCATTTCAATTTGATAGCATTGTCAGTGTAGCAAACTATATAGAAGTGTAATGTTATATTGTATTCAGGTAATACATGTACTTCTAATAGAGTAAATATGGTATTTAATAATGTCATGTGTACGTTTAATGTTTTGTTTCTGTAAATGTGTTTGTCGTTTTTGTGTTAAGGAAACTGATGGCAAGTCTGTTGAGGAAAAACCTGCCGAAACACAGGTGAATATAGAAAACTTATTTTTAAGGTTTGATGGCATTTTGAACTTTTCCTACATGTCTTTAGGAAGATCATTTCTGCAATGTATGGTGTCATGTTATGTTTTGACGACTGTATGTGGTGATATTAAAGTAACCCCCTCCCATCCTGATAGCTTTTAAAATATTTCCCGACATACCATGTATCAGGATATGTATTTATTCAACTTGAAAGAAATCTGTTCTTCTAGATAAAAAAAATCTGGGTATAATACACCTGTGGTGCTGTTTCATTCTGAAAACAAAGCAGCTTTTATTCTGTTGAGACTGCAAGTACATGTACATAAGAAATGTAAAGTGGGATGATACTGCATGGAGGACGTATTCAATCCCAAGATTATTTAATACAATCATAGATTTGTTGTTTGTCAATTACTGGTGAGCTGTCAAGTACTGTAAAATACTTTATTTTAGCTGGAATTAATTTTCACTGAAAAGACATTTTGGGTGTTTTGTATGAAATTTATTTTCACTGATTTTATTTTCACAAGTTGAATGTAAAATATAGGAAAAAAGGTATATTTGCTGGATTTTATTTTCACTGAATCATTCCTTCAGCGAAAATTAATTCCAAGCGAAAATAAAGTATTTTACACTAGGTTGGAAAATGAATGAGCCATAGTCATAGGAATAAGGTCAAAATGGAAAATGCTTTTGAATAACATTAGACTTGAAGGGCGGTGGGTGTCGCGCCACATATGCGTGAGATATGGGACTTGTATGAACAAAGATGGCGACTTTGAATGTGAATCCTGCACAGACCAATGAGTACACAATTAAAGGTTTCTAATTTCTTTGGTTATTGGAAGGTATGAAGGAGTCATCACCGGTAATTTGTGTATGTTAGACAAGCGCATTGTATTGAAAATCAGCGTTTATCAACGCAGATGTGGCACATGTGCGGCGCGACAACCGCCGCTCTTTAATGCATGACATTTGTGATTCTGCAAGTTTGTATGACATGTTTACATTCGGTATTTTTCAAATGTGGGATTTGAAAATAGATTGTTGTGTGCAGTATATCAAATTGAAATTGTGACCTGAGTGATGTACAGTCTGAAATTATGCCCAAATATAATTCAAAACTGAACACCGGTACTTGTCAAATGACAATTATTCAATAAATTTGTTTTTTCTTTTGTGAAATTTCTTCACAGGAATTTTCTGGAGTTTTGTTCACATGAAAACATTTTGAGTAGCCTCTATCAGCTTTTCCTCATTTTATTCGATAGATTTTTTTTTTTCAGCAAAATATTCAATTTACTGTGGAATACTTTCGCTGGAATTAATTTTCGCTGAAAAGGCTTTTTGGGCGTTCTTTATGGAATTTATTTTCACTGATTTTTGATGAGTTGAATGTGAAATATAGGAAGAAAAGTATATTCGCTGGATTTTATTTTCACGGAATCATCCCTTCAGCGAAAATAGCAAAAATAAATTCCAAGCGAAAATAACGTATTCTACAGTACTTCAGAATTATTTCCCACTTAATACATTGGGTTAAAAAACTATATGATGCAGTTAGCAAAATTCTTAGTCAGACATTGTGTCTTGTATTCTTGAAACCTGCTATGTTAATATGTTGTACTTATAGCAGGTGTAACCTGTGACACAGGGAATTGTTGGTACAATCAGATAAAAAAAATCTGTTTATGTCATTTGAATTTGAAAACTAGGTGTTTTAATGCATAGCTTTAGAGAGAAGTGGTTGAAAAACAATTACTGCAAGTTTTGATAGTATTATTGTAATTTTTACACTAATTTGTGTAAAATTGACACTAATTATTGTAATTTTACACTAATTACTAATTTGTAATGTCGTTGTAATAGCAGTTTACCACCACAAGGTGATCCAGAAACTGACCTTCGAATTAGAGCAAATATCTTGGTCTCGTTAAAAACGTTTAAAAACAAAAAACAAACATCCCAGATGAAAACGAGAAGCAGAATTTTTTTTTATCAGGCCTCATATGTTAAAGTGTCAACTGCCTTGACCTACATACTATTACGGTGAGTTCTGATCACCTCAGTTGAAAAGTTTGTCACCTTTAAATGCATGTTTCATGTCAGTCAAATCACTGTTACCATAGAACAAGATTGTATCGTAATAGCAGATCATTTAATAGTCTTAATTCTGTCTAGAATATCTTCTGACATGAGGGAATTTGGACAGTTTACTTCAAACTGTTTTAATCTTGTGAGAGACAAGAAGTTGTGATGACTTATATAAAATTTTATCAACATTATTATTTTAAAATTGTTTTTTTTTCATAATTTCTGTATTAATTTTGAACCAAATCAAGACAATGTATTCTTGGCGTAAAGTCTTGTCAATATTTTTTTTAAAAATATGAAGATTTCAGGTTTGACTTTGGCATTCAAAAGGTTTATCAAAACAAACAAAAATATAATTTGCATGGTCATCTCTGCCAACTCATCTCAGATTCACCACTATTTTAATTTTTTTGTATTTTTTTCGCAAAGTTTGACAATCGGATCTTGATGTACAGAAACATGTGTACGGGGTGACAAATATCACTATCATAATTGATTGAAATATTTCACGTAAAATTTCGTAATGTTTAGACTATTTTTTTTTTTCATGGGAAACGACAAATTTTCTGTTGCATGTTACTGATGGCTTTGACTTGTAAAATATTGTCTTCAAAAAGTGTTCCAATTACTGAGTAATCAACAATTACTGCTAATGTTTATACTTAGTTCAGATTTGAACACTAAAAAAGGTGATTATGTTGCATTCAATGGGGACAATAGTTGTTGTTGGTGTCGTTGTTAACTTGAACAGTAACGAAACAAGAATAAACAGTAATGACGATTCATAAGTCAACTTAAAACTAAATTGCTTATAGGACATTATAGAAAATTGCCAAGAATATCTAAAAGTTGTAGAGTAACATACTTACTGTGAAACATAATATGTAGTTTCCATGGAAACCAGCTCAATATTAACAAATGGTGCAGATGTCAAATGGATGGATCCCTTGAATTTTTGTTTTCGTCATTTCCAGGTTGAGGAGAAAAAAGAAGAAGAAGAAATTGATATTGACCTCACTGATCCCGAAGTTGAGAAGGCGGCTGTGAAGATACAAGCTGGTTTTAAAGGTCTAAAAGCAAGGCAACAAGTCAAAGAGATGAAAGAACCATCAGCTGAAGAGCCAGCCAAGGAGGAAGAGGTAGATATTGACTTAGACGATCCTGACGTTGAAAAAGCGGCCGTAAAAATACAGGCTAGTTTTAAGGGGTTTAAAGCTCGTAAACAGGTTAAGGATATGCAGGATGAAAAAACTGCTGATGAAGCAAAACCTGCTGAGGCAGACGAGGAAATAGATATTGACCTAGACGATCCTGACGTTGAAAAAGCGGCCGTAAAAATACAGGCTAGTTTTAAGGGGTTTAAGGCTCGTAAACAGGTTAAGGATATGCAGGATGAAAAAACTGCTGATGAAACAAAACCTGCTGAGGCCGACGAGGAAATAGATATAGACTTAGACGATCCTGACGTTGAAAAAGCGGCCGTAAAAATACAGGCTAGTTTTAAGGGGTTTAAGGCTCGTAAACAGGTTAAAGATATGCAGGACGAAAAAACTGCTGATGAAGTTAAACCTGTCGAGGCTGAGGAAGAAATTGACATTGACTTGGACGATCCAGATGTTGAGAAAGCGGCTGTCAAAATACAGGCTAGTTTTAAAGGTTTTAAAGCTCGTAAACAGGTTAAGGATATGCAGAACGAACCTGAGGTAGGACAATTAATTTCGCAGGCTAATGAGCACCAAAGTAGAACCCAATCGTAGATCTCCTGCCTGCTCGTAATGACATCAACCACACCTGCACTCCAACAGTAATATTCCAAAATTATCATTATTATAAAAAATGCACGTACTTACTTATAAACCATCACTTATATTTTTTAGAACATTATGCATGATAATATCATGAATATTTATAATAATTAAATTATGATTTTTCATTTAATATATTTTTTGTTTTAAATAATATTTTAGTACACCACATCCTACAATATAACCCATAGCATGAATTCAGTTTTTTTAAATATTCCTTTTTACTAAATAACATAGAGCATGAAAATATAGATATTTTTTAAAATACTTTTTTTTTAATGAATAACTTATAGCATGAATATATTTTTTATAGATATAATTTAAAATAATTTACATTTTTTCATTATTCAGTGATTTTGCTCATTTTCAATATATTGGAGCTCCTTATTAATTTTTTTTTTCAAATTAACTATATTTAAAATTGTACTCTGGTTATGACATGTTAATGTCTCTCGTTTTTGTTCTGGACTAATCCTACTTCCAACAATTTATTATTTTTTCAAAAAAATTTTCTTTTTTAAATTTTTTTTATTAATTTGATTTATTTTATTATTTTGAATAAGAAGCTCCATCATGAATATAACAATTGTATGAATCATATTCTTCAGTTACAGTTATCCATTTTCATAAAAAAAAATAGTAAAATTTTGGACTTGTGTGATGATTTGCATTAATTAACATTATTATAATTATTCCAATTTTTCTTTTTTAATAGTTATTTTTTTTAACATCTGCAACCAACCAACATTTCATAATACAGTACAAGTGTGGCTCAAAATAACAGCGTTTAAAATTTTGCTCACTGCACCCTGAATGCGTGTTGCTAACAGAACGCAACTAACTTTAGTTTCAAAGACGTCTTGAGAATCGTCTATTCAAAATTGAAATACATTCGTGTCTGCGTGAAATCTTATTTCGTCTTATGTTTGTTTAGTATCAATAAAAAAAAAGTTTGTAAATATTTGCAAATGTTTGATAAAAATTTCTATTTATAAAAATATTTTTAATGCATCTATTATTTTCTATAAAATATTTATATCCGTTAAAAATAAAAAAAAAGATCGATTTGAAAAAATAGCAAAAAATCCAAATTGAAGAAGTTTTATTGAAAGAGATCAAGCCTGAAGATTTGAGGTCCTGTGGATTAAGAGAGCCAAAATGTTAAAGGGAAGTTGTCGTCACGATCGTGTTTAAACACATTCAAATTTCAAACAAATAAACAGCATTATTGACCAATCATACTGGTGAAATGTGTACCATGGAATTGTGGGAGGATGTTGTTCGTAGTGTCAGAAAATAATTTCCTATGCCACAGTCAGCACATGTTTAAACTTTACTAAGAATACTAAGAAATACATCTAGTAGTATTTATGAAAATATCAAATTTCCAGAAATTAAATAAATTTAAAGGATAAATTGTGATGTTTTTTATAGCCATTTTACAGGGTGTGTTGTGGAATATACTTCCTGTGTCGCCTTGGGTATCAAATTATGATATTTAACAGTTTACAGTGTTGTGCCACTAGAGGGCAGCAGATAGATGAGATTCCTTTACATGGATCTCATAAGAGGAAAGCTTTACTTCAGTTTCAGTTCAATAATTGTGATAAAAATATTGAAAACTGATCATTTGAATAATAATTTCAATAATAATTAATTAAAAAATTCAAAATATTCATTTTTAAAAATGATGCCATATTGTCAAAGAATAATGCAAATCTCATTCAGCTCCTAAAAATCTGCTAAATCACCCCCCCCCCCATTTCAGAATGTGGTACATTCCAATGTGCATTGTATGTGGTGCCTATAGGATCGTACCACTTGGCTTGATAGGTAAGTTAAGGCTTGTAAATGAGGGTATTTTTTTTCTGATTACAGGCCGCTAAACCTGCTGAGGAAGAGGAAGTTGATATTGACCTTAATGACCCTGAAGTTGAAAAAGCTGCTGTCAAAATTCAGGCTGGATTCAAAGGTTTAAAAGCAAGAAGAGAAGTGAAAGATTTGAAAAAGGTAAAACTAAACTTACAAATTTGCTTAGTGATAAACTGGGCTGGTGCATGTGTAATGCTTGCCTGTGAGGGCACACTTTCATATCTGCTTGTCACTTTTTGTTACTATAATGTCAGTTACACCCACCAACAATTCAAATGTTTTCAGAATAGTGTGACTGTAATCTGTAGCCCTGTTATTTACAGGAATACTGTGACGGCATTCATTTTAATTTTGATATTTGAAGCATAATTAATATAATATTTAATGCTTTTATAGTAACATGTTTTTGCCAATTTTTGATTATTGAAACCATATATTATGCCAGGATGCATTTTCCTTTTGTGAAACATCAAAAACTTAAATTGCAAAGTGAAAATAATGTAGTCTGTCATGAGTTTTACTCTTATTTTGTAAAAAAATACCCACACTGCTTAGAGAACAGGATATGACATTGCCATACAGGATATGACATCACCATACAGGATATGACATCACCATAAAGGATATGACATCATCCTGCATCATCAAATTTGAATATCGCATAATTCTGTACTGATTTCATTCTCTCACTTCTTCATTATTCTTGTCTCCATTTCTCCATTTTCTCCTTCAGGGCAACTAGTAGCACATGCAATATCCATAGCATCCAAGCTTGCTGATGGTCTGTGTCTCAATTCCCGCATACTTTCTATCTAGTGTTATTTAAAAAACTTACTTGTGACCAAAATATTACCTGCTGAAAATACATTTAAAAATACATTTTTTTAATACCTTTTAGCACCAAACTATGGTGGAACATTTTTTCAATTTTTTTTTTTTATGAAATCTTTGTTGATTTTGGACCATAATAACATAACTTCCTTTTGGCTACAATGCCTGATACAATATTTTTAAAAAAATTGCAGATTTATTTGGTGAGAGGTAAATGTTAATGCAAATTACTTTATGTTACTGAATAGTGCGAACACATGTGAACAAAAGCAATTTTCTTCAAATGCTTGGGAAAACTGAAATTTGTATTTCTTTCATAAATTCAGTGTTCCTCATACCATTCATATTTACTTCTCACATTCTCTCATATTTGGCACATAATTAATAATAGTTCCATATCTTAGATTTGTGTAAATATGACTAGAAATAAGAGTGACGACAGAAAATCAAACAACAAATGCTAAAATATTAGTCTTGATTTTCTATTGTCATATACAATCTTGAAATGCCAAAGTCAAGTTTAATCACTTTCTACAATTATTCGTAAATTTTATATATTTGATTCCTTGTCTCAAAATAAATTAACAAGCAATTAAAAAATATCTTGAAAACTAATCCACCAAGTTTAGTAGGAATATTGATGATGTTAATGTGACACTTTAGATCAAAGTTCACAGAAAGGTCAAAGTTCATTTTAAAGTAATTTTAGCAGGTAATATTGATATATTTTCTTAAAGCTAACTTTTTATTTATCTTAATCTTTGCTACAAATTGTAACATTTGTTAAAAGCGCTACCGTATATTTTATTTTCCTAATTTATGTAAATTGCAGCTCAATCATACTTGTCTGCGTTGAGTGCGATTATAAGAAATGAAAATAATAACAAAATTATTTACCATGATAAAAACATTGAACTTTATTGTATATATTGTAAACCTCTAAATTTTCACAGTTTTATGGCTATACATGAAAATAAAATTTCACAAAAATCGCTTCCATGTGTCTTACATAGAAGTGGACACTGAGAATTGTCACTGCTACAAAGTATCACGATTTTTACTGAATCGTCAAATTCTCGAAAATCAGACTCAAAATGAACGCAGTTTTGCAGTATGTCAATCGTATCATGTCAGAGTTTGGTGCGATCTAAATTTGCATATTATGTCGTAAACAGTTTTTTTTGCAAGGCATCTATCTCAGGTTATTTTTTCTCTTAGCTGCTTGTTAACAACTTGCTTCTATAAGCATGACTAAGTCGAATTTTCATAACGTCATGTAATGTTGGAATGGTTCATCTGAATGCCGGTCAAAGTTCAAATATGCTAATTAAAAGCACCAAGCTTCTTGTCATTCACATCTAATTAAATTAAAATGATAATTTCATCCGAATTTCATTTGAACCATTTCAGCTTACTTTATGCATAGTATTTTTTTAAATTAACATTTTTTTATTTTTCAAATATATGCATGTTTATTTTTGATTATTTGAAATATAAACTGTCAGTATGTTAATTTGTTTTACAACTTGCTCTTTGTTACTAACCTAAGGAGTCAAAATAACTTCAAGAAACACCCTAGGTAAATTGAAGTTTACAATATGGTTACCTTTTCAGTGGTCCATGCACAATTTTGTTGTTAATATTCATTCACTCATTATTGGATGTTTCCTCTTCTCATGTCTCCACCCCTACCCATCCAATCTTATAATGGCATATGAAAATGGTAATTTATTCATTGGATTTTAAATAAAGCTCCAAAGCTCAGTCAATATTATCTTGATATAGGCACCAGTATTATAGAATGTGGATCAGTATCACCAACCAATTGCTTCAGTCTTCATCAGCCTGTTTCCATGGCTACCACCATCTCCATCACCATCATACTCACACAGTGCATGTGTATTGCTAATGTTCATAGAGTACACACACACACACACTACGAATACTTGATTGAACAGTTCTAAATCACAAAATTGAAAATGTGTTTCATTTATCCTGACTGTTTTTAATTAATAAAATTCCAAATAATCAGATTCCCCAATGACTATTAAAGCCATTTTTATCACGTGCACTCCTTGTGAAATTCTCACATTCATGTTTAGTATAGAAATAAATAAAATCCTTCAGCAGGTTTCAGTCAGTGTGGAACCACTCAGGGTCTTATTACTAATTTCATGACAAATGGAAGCAAGATACGAGACATCAGAATCAGTAATCATAAACTTGTGTGGTAACTATTTGTGATCTCTTGTATTGTTTATAGTTATTTGTGTTTCTGGACTCGTTTATCTATCTTTGATTTGTCTGGTTCACAAAAAAATCATTGCAGGGCTTGTACTACAGAGTTTAGAGAGCACCACATTTAATAAAATTGCCTTGGCATTATAAAAATAGGAGGGAATATCTAAGGACACCAAGGCACTTTCATTTGGTAATTGCCTTTAATGCCTATGTGAAAATAAGTTGATTATGTGAAAATAAGTTGATTATGTGAAAATAAGTTGATTATGTGAAAATAAGTTGATTATGTGAAAA